CCTTTATCCTGTAATGTCAAAATAAACCCTTGCCAAAACTTAAAAAATAGGGATTGGGAGAGCGTGTCTTAGAAATTGTTTTGTATCGTCATATATAGTTCCTTCTCCCTTTTGCTAGTATTACTGAATTTTCAGATTTTGATCTTTAAGAGCTGTACAATAATCCATTTATGAACAGGCCATAATTTAACCCATCTCCAATTGATGGATATTTAGATTGTGTCTAGGTTGCCTTTTTTGCCATTGCAAACAATGTTCAGTGAATATGTATCTGAATACATACAGCATTCATTTATAACCTAAATTATCAGAAGTAGAATTGCTCAGTCATGAGATATGTACAGTATTAGTTTTATAAATTAGTTTTATAAATTCTGGTAAAGTTGCCTTCCAAGTTTCATACTTCAGCCCAGAAATACAAAATTACCTATTTCTCTACTCTGTCAACTCAATTTGTAAAGCTTTGCTACTATGTAGAGGACAAATGGTACCTCACAATTTTTGTTTTCTTTTTCAAAGTGGAAGATTGAGAATCTTTTACTGAATTTGAAAGCCATTGTGGGTTTCTCTATAATACTTTGAATCCGTTCAGAATTCTGATTACAAATAACAAAAACTGTTTCATCAGTTCAAACATAAAAGAAAAAAATGTGTTCAGAGGATAATTGGAGTCAGTAGCTTGTAACCTCAGGGCAAAAATTCAACAGGACCTCAAAGAAAACCAACAGGCTACTGAAAAACCTTGAAACCAAACTGTGCTTTCTCTCTACTTTTTTTCTTCGGTTTTTTCTGCATGCCTGTATCAATTGCTCTCATTAGTCTGGCTGACCATAGCCAATCATGGCTTTGCATTTATATTTCTCAACTTCAGTCACTCAGACTGAATCTCTTGGGAAGATACAATCTCACATTTTACCACACAACCCTCTCTGTACATTTGCCTATGGCCATGGGAGCAGAATCACAGAATAGAAATTGAGTATCTAAAAACCCTAGATTGAACAGATACCCAGCAATATTATTTGTACAAGGGGGTTTCACTTTAACATATCCATTATGTGTACATCTTGTAGGTGTAGATTTCTCCTCTTTGTTCTTTGCTCTTTCTTAAAGTGGGCAGAGTGGGAATGGAATACTTTGTTAATTGGACAATATTTAGGGGATGGTGTGTGGCTCAGTTTGTGGAGCGCTACACAGTAAGCAAAAGCATCAGGTACCGAGTTCAAATTTTGGTCTTGGATGCAAAAAAAGTAGACAAAATTTACAGGGGAGGATAAGCAAAGTATACTGTCCATATTATCAAAAAACCTTTAAGAGATAACACTCTTTTTTTTTTGTCTTGGGGCCTGAACTCTTCAGCTCAAGGCTAGTGTTCTACCACTTGAGCCACAGCACCACTTCTGGCTTTTTCTGCTCATATGGTACTAAGGAATCTGAACCCAGGGCCTCATGCATGTAAGGCAAACACTCTACCAATGAGCCACCTTCCCAGCCCCAAGATAACACTCGTGTGTGTGTGTGTGTGTGTGTGTGTGTGTGTGTGTGTGTGCACGTGCGTGTGTGTGCGTGTGCGTTCATGCATGTGTACACACACACACATGCACACCAGTACTGGGGCTTCAACTCAGGGCCACAAGCTCTTTCTAGGTTTCATGGCTGCTACTCTACTGTTTCAGTCATGCTTCTACTTCTAGCTTTTTCCTTATTAATTACAGAGAAGGGTCTCTTAGGTTTGTGTACCTGAGCTGATTTCAAACCACAATTCTCAGATCTTAGTCTCCTGAGTAGCTTTATAGGACTATAGACATGAGCCACCAGTGTCTACTTTGCTTACACTGTTTTTGAGATAGCACCTCAGGTTTCGCCTAGGCTGACCTGGACTACAATTCTCCTATTTTATGATTCTCACAATAGCACAAGTGTATACCACCAAGCCTAGCTATTTTCTGTTGAGATTGTAATCTCATGAATATCTTTGCCTGGGCTGGCCTGTAACTTTGATCTGCCTGATCTCAATCTCTTGAATAACCAGGATAACAGCCATGGAAGAGTATCATTGCTCCAAATTGTTGTTTTTTTCTTTTTTTTTTCATGTATTTCTGGGACTTCCTGGAACCCAATCTATGTTAGGCTGGTGTTCTATTACTGAGTTCCCTTTTATTTCCCTGTTTCCTCTCATCAATTTATTATTTCACTTGCATAATTGTAAGCATTTTCACATTCTGTTTCTACCAATATGTCATAAGCATGTTTGCATGACATGAAGCCTGGTACATGATTTTATATCATTACCACCACTCCCATGCACATTTAAGCTGTTTTGGATTTTTAAAAATTATGATGAACATCTTTGTGTCTCAATATTTTAATCAATTAGTTACTGCTGATAAACTCTTAGATAATTGCTAATTTTTAAAAATAAAAAAAAATTATCAATAGCAGCTATTTCCCTAAAGAATCCATTCTGCATGTTGCAGAATAATAGCCTGGCCTCCCAAAGTGATACTGTGTCTTCAAGTGGTTTAGAAAGTAAAAGTAGATCAAACTATTTGGGGCATATTGAACAAGAACTATGAGAATAATTAATTCATTTATCTTCTGGTCTATACATAACTATTTGCAATACAAAAATGTCATGTTAAGCAGACTAAATATTTTGTGGCAATCTACCTACATATTCTCTTACTATATGCAAGGTGCTAAAACATTCAAAATTATTTGACAGACATGGAATCCAAACAAAAGGAGTTTGTAGATCTTTACAACTAATCCCCTCTGCTGAGGAAGTCTCAAGTCAACAAAAATTATTCTTGTCAAAGAATCAAAAATGTTCAAGTCTGCTTAGCTGTGGTGATCTCTCCCTTAGACAGTAACTTGAATGTATATAGCAGATCCTTGCCTCTGTGCCTAGTATTCATACTTTGATTCATTTGCATATTTTCTTATTGCTTCTAAGACTGACTAACCCCCCCCCCTTCTGATCTCTAATTTCTTTAGATAATATATTAAATTTGGAAGTATCCTTTAGTAAAGTCTCATTCCACTGATTTAATGCATTTTTTTTTTGTCAGTCGTGGGGCCTGAACTCGGGGCCTGGGCGCTATCCCTCAGCTCTTCAGCTCAAGGCTAGCGCTCTACCACTTGAGCCACAGCACCACTTCTGGGTTTTTCTTTTTGTTTATGTGGTGCTGAGGAATCAAACCCAGGGCCTCATGCATGCAAGGCAAGCATTCTACCACTGAGCCACCTCCCCAGCCCTGATTTAATGCATTTTTTATTTAATCATGTGGCCTTCAGTTTTGAGTTTCTGAATGATGAACAGGTTATTTTACTTCTTTCTTATTACTCTTTTTTATGCCTTTGATTATTATCCAGAATCACCTTTCAAAATTATTTGAGGAGTCTTCCTAGTTTCCAAATTTTGTGTTGCATTTGTGTGAACAAACTTCTTTTCTGTAACACGTATTTCTGATCTTATAGTGGGAAAAGTATGCCTGACATGGAATAAGAAAATGATTCAGTTGAAATAGCTCGAATAAGAGACATATCAGTATTGCTTATATTGTTTATTTTTTAGCCTCACACTGACCAAAACTTCTAAGTCAAAAAAAGTAAAAAAAAAATTTTAATCATAAGAGAGTCTTTTAACTACATGAATAAAATATCCTGGGGAAACATTTGTTTTTTCCAGTCTCTTATCATTTTGCAGGGGTGGGAGGACCGTACTCATCGTAGGGCGTGAGCTCAGGACCTGGGGCACTGTCCCTGAGCTTTTTTGTTTAAGGCTGGTACTCTAGCACTTGAGCCACACTTTCACTTCTGGCTTTTGGTGGTTAATTGGAGATAAAAGTCACACGGATTTTCCTGCTCAGTCTAGCTTTAAACCACAATCCTCGGCTCTGAGCCTTTAAGGAAAAGATTATAGGTATCAGCTATTGGTGCTGGGCTTCTTACTCTCTTTATTTTTTTTAATTTTTCAGAATCTTTCATAGGTTACACATTACTCTAAGCTTCCAATTTATGTTTCTCTCTTCTGTATTTTTTGAATTGCGAAAAAAGTTCATATACTCCTTTAAAGGATACTTAGGTTATACTATATGAATTCTTTTTTCAGAACCAGCAACTTGATGAAAATAACAGTATTTTTCTACAGTTAGGAAAAGTAGACTGGGAGCTGTGCCCAGTGACTGAGTGCTTGCTTAGTATGCATGGGGCCCCGTCTTTAATCCCCTGCACCTTAGAAAGTTTGTTCTTGGCTGCCCCAATTTGCAGAGGATATAGCCCAATGGTAGAGCCCTTACCTACAGATTTGAAGCCCTGGGTTGTATCGCCAGCACTGGAGAAAAAAGGAAAATGTTTATTCTTTGCCAAGCATAAAGGTACAGGCCTCCCCAACACTCGGGAAACTGAAGCAGGAACATTGAGGGTTCAGGTCCAGACTGGGCTATATTAGAAGACTCTGCCTAGGAGATGGTGAAGACATTATCATACCTTAACTTTGAAATAGATATACACTCAGATATATTCAAATGTATTTAGATAAATAGACAGACAGATAGATAAGAATCATTGTAAAATGGCATTTGAAGGGCATCCTTAATAGTAATACCAAGGTTTCAGTTAAGTTAGACTGTGTATTTGGACTTTTTTTTACATCTTTAAAGTCAAAACCCATAGTTTCACTGTGCATGTGGGTACATGCCTGTAATTCCAGTTGAGGAAAGAGGATTATGAGTTTGAGGCCAGTCTGACTATAATGGAGACACTCTCAAAAAAAGAAACAAAAAGCCGTAAAACTCCTACACACTTTCTGTGGAATAATAATGCTACTAACTTCCTGTATGTGGCCTCAAAAGCAATTGCCAGCCTGTACTTTCTGACTGTGGAGCACAAACATGTTCAGAGAATGAATTTAACTGTATGGTTTGTTTTTAGAGTTTTGAGCTATCTTGAGTATGCTATAATTTATTATTTGTGTATTCTCACAATAATTATTTTAGGTCCACTGGCTATTCGGAGGTGATAGTTGTTGTTGGTGGCTGTGAACGAGTTGGAGGATTTAATCTCCCATATACTGAGTGCTATGATCCTGTCACAGGAGAATGGAAGTCTTTGGCTAAGCTTCCAGAATTTACTAAATCAGAGTATGCTGTTTGTGCACTAAGGAATGACATTCTTGTTTCAGGTAAATAATTATTACAACAGCTACTATTTCTGATTCTTATGCAGCCTGGATGTTTTAAATAATAGTGTCTTAAAAGAAAATGAGGGATGAGTGCATAGCTCAAGTGGTAGATTGCTTTTCTAGCATGTACAAGGTTCTGGGCTCTATTCTCAGTACCACCAAAAGAAAGAAAGAAAACAAAGAGAGAAGAGAAAAAAATAAAATGTATATATGATCATATTAGGTGACTCAGTTTATATATAACATGGTTTAGAATGATTGACAAGGGATCTGTTAGAAAAGTCTTTAGTCATATCATATTTTAAATGCTCTCAAATGTATGTAGAATATGATTTTAAAAATTATCTTTTGAGTCACTATAAAACATGCAGACTTAAAAATATTACTTATCTCTAATTTACTCATGTTTTCTGAAAAATTTTCCCAAAGTTTATGAAATAGAATTTTCTGTAAGATTCTTAACTTAATCTTAAATCATATTTTCTGTAAAATTCTATCATATGTAGGTATGTTTGGAAATTTGTTAATTGACAAGCTAGGTTTACTGGTTTTACAGATGATTATATTACTATCAGCAGAATGAAATACTAACACACAGCTCATTTTGTACTTCATATGGTTTGTAGAGCATCTTTAGAATAGACCTATTGATGGTCTTCTGACACCTTACTCATAAGCTAACAGGCTTATTCATTTGTAAACTCCTATTTTATTATTTGGAGCCTTATTGTCATTACTTCTCTTTTTAAAAAATAATTGGATTGTTATTATTATTAAGGTACTATACAGAGGGGATACTATTTCATAAGCCAGGTAATGAGTACATTTCTTTCTTTTTGGACAGTGTTATCCCTTAACTTTCTCCCAGTTTAGTTGTTACTTCTCAAGATAACAGTTGGCAAACTTAGAATCTGCTGTGTAAACTATTTCTGTTAAGCTGTAAAAGGATCCTCCATTTATTGTACTGAATTCTCAAATTCTTAAATTAGATGAATAAATCCCATGTTTTTATTACCTACACCTAGGTGGCATAGATCCCTTGTTGGTAGAGCATAGTGACATATTATTGCATATGCATTGTTTTGCATTTAAAGGTGGAAGAATCAACAGCCGTGATGTGTGGATTTATAACTCACAGTTAAATATTTGGATAAGAGTTGCCTCTCTAAATAAAGGCAGATGGCGTCACAAAATGACTGTTCTACTTGGTAAAGTAAGAGAAACCACTTTTTATTGCTATTGCTAGTACAATTCAAAATAAATAACACAGTTAAGTTCTGTATTTCACTTTCCCTCTGAGTATTTTGGATTCAAAATTTCTAATCACAGTATAACACTGTATTTTTGAATGGATGTGTTGTTGTCACAGTTTGAAATTCATGGCAGTACACTTGCCAAAATATTTTGAAGAAAATGTATGCTTGACCTCAGCTAATGAATATTATTAAAATACATAAAATTTGGGTTTACAACCCAAAGGGTATCCTTATTAATCTAAGAATCATGAACTAGTAGTTTCCACACCCTTCTGAAGAACTGCATCCTCTTTTAAATGTTAAATCTAATATTAAACCCAACATATTAAACATATAAGTATACCTCACTTGAACCAAACAGTATCTCAGAGTTGTTGGCCTCTTCCTGCCACCACCTCCATCACATCCTCCAAGCTACTTCAAATTAATGACAAGTTAATGTGAAAGCAATATACTATTATACATATATCTTCAGTTGCTCCCCTAGTGCAGCTTTCTAAAAGGATGCCTCTTAAGCCCTACTATGAAACCCAGAACCACCAATAAAACCCCAAAACCTCTCTAGTTGAATCAGAGATGGTTGCCTGGAATCCTTCCCACTCAGTCCCTGATCAGTCTTCCTTCACCTAGGTTCCCCCACAAAGGTTTCTTAAAACTTTTATACGAAGAAATACTCAAGCTCCTCCCAAATAGTTCAAAAGCTATTGAATTCCTAAAGATCCTGATAGAGTTTGCTGTAGTTATTGACAAGGCTAGTGACACAATGTCCTTGAGATAAATATACTGGAAATAAAATATTTTTCTAAAACTAGTGGTATATCTTCCTATTACATTATATATAGTTTTGGTATTTAAGATTCAAAATTGACAAGGTCAACTGGATATTCACTAGTGACATGCAAAATAAAATTGTCTTTAGAATTTTTGCCATTTTATTGTGTGTGTTTGTGCCTGAAGTGGGGCTTGAACTCAGGACCTGGGTGCTGTCCCCTTAGCTTTTTGCTTAAAGTTGGTGCTCTACCACTTGAGCTACAACTACACTTGTAGCTTTTTTGGTAGTTAGTTAGTGAAGAAGTCTTACAGACTTTCCTGCCCAGACTGACTTCAAATCTTGATCTTCAGATTTCAGTCTTTTAAGTAGCTAGGATTACAAGTGTGAGCCTGCAATGCCTGCTTTACATGGCCTTTTGTAAGTTGAATTACATGGCATTGGGGGCACAGATTCACCAATAGATAATCTGTAAATAGTGTGTGAGAAATGTGTAATAGAAGTGGCATTGTCTACTGTGGAAAATTAGAGGAGCACAGAAAGGTAAATTGTATGCATATGTGAATAGTAAGTTGAAGTTTGACTTGGATCCTTAGGCATCGATAGAAAGATTCATCTCTGGTTTAGAAAACACGAGTGGAGGCTATTTGAGAAGAAGTGATGTGGACCCTGAGGTAGAGTGGTGGCATGGCAAAAAGAAATACAAGTGAGATGCTGTAGAAGATTCAGTAGGTCTCCATAGTTATTAGAAAACCAGATCAGATCTAAAACAATATACATAATCATAGACTTACACCTACATAGCCATATATATGTATACAGAGAGAGACAGAGAACATGATTGTAACTGGCACTGTCTATGAGAGGAAAAGAATGATGGAAAGTAAATAATAACTAAACACAATGCATAAAGATGGCATAAGGAAACTTATTGAAAGCTGTTGAACAATAGGGGATAAGTTTAGGAAAGATAGTAGTAGAGTGAATTAATCTTATTAAAATATATGTATGTGTGAAATACTATAACCAAACCTTTTGATCTAGTTAGTATACACTAAAAAAAGAATGACAGGAGAGTAAAATAGGTTTTCTGGACAGTAGGTTCCAGCAGATAGAGAAAAGTGAATTTGGACAGGGTGAATAAGGGAAATATGGTTGAAGTATTTTATATATGCATTATGAAAATAGAGCAGTGAAAGGTATTAAAATATAAGAAAGGAGGGGAGAGCAAGAGAAAGGTGGTAAATTTGATAGGGGAACATTGTATGCATACATGGAAGTGTCATAATGAAACCCCATTGTCAAATAATATATACTAATAAAAATGCTAAAGAGCTGGATGCAGGTGGCTCACACCTGTAATCCTGATTCAAGAGGCTGAAATCTGAGAACCAAGGTTCAAAACCAGCCAGGGCAGGATAGTCTGTGAAACTCTTATCTCCAATTAATCACCAAAAGGCCAGAAGTGGGGCTGTGGCTCAAATGGTAGGTCTATCCTTAAGCAAAAGAATTCTGGGACTGTGCTCAGGCTCTGAGTTCAAGCCCCAGGATGGGCTTTTGCCAGCTCTGGAAAAATACAAAATACAAAAAAAAGAAATTGTGACATGACTCAAATGGTAGAGGGTTTGCTTGGCATGTCAAGACCCTGAATTCAATCCCAAGTATAAGAGAGAAAAGAGGAGGGAAGATAAGGGAAAATTAGATATGGTGGGAAGAGTTGATGATAAACTGTTCACTAAAAGAAATGTGTTAACCTGGTGAACTTTGTTAAGTAAAAAGGTTCTAATATGTCCCATAATGCTTAATAGATTATTCCTCTTGTAAGCCACTTAATAATTGTCTTTTTTAATTGGCTGACCTATCATATAAAGATGCTAATTTTTATTAAAAATGTTGTGAAAGCTCTGAGATATATATATATTATAAAATTAGCTATGTCAGATACTTTTCTAGGTACTATGAGAGACTGTAAAGATAAATCCTACCTTCAAAGATTTCGCAATTTAGTCACGTACCAGTGGCTCATGTCTGTAATCCTAGCTACTCAGGAGGCTGAGATGTGAGGATCGTGGCTCAAAGCCAGCTGGGCAGTAAAACCTGTGAGACTCTTATCTTCTATTAACCACAAGAAATCTGGAAGTGTCTCAAAGTGGTAGAACATTATCCTTGGCGGATAACACTCAGGCCCATGATGAAAGAAAGGAAGGAAGGAAGAAAGAAAGGAAAGGAAGGAAGGAAGGAAGGAAGGAAAGAAGGAGACAGGAAGGAAGAAGAAAGAGAAAGAAAAGGAAGGAAAGAAAGAAAATAAAGAGGAGAGAGAGAGAAAGAAGGAAGGAAGAAAGGAAAAAAATCTCACAATTTGATAATCCTTCAAATATTTCATCATCCTTGACATGCAATTCTCAACAGACATAGCACTTCCACAGGTAGGGTGAAGATTTGTTCTTAGGTAGGAATGAAAACAATTAGTCTTTACCTCAGTAAGGTAAATAAATATACAGTATGTTTGTGGTATTATAATTTTATTGAAAGGCGGCTATTTGGTAAAATACCAAATAGGGGATTTGATCTTTTAAAAGCTCAGAAATTTTGAGCTAAATATGTTGTAGTTACCAAGAGCTTTTAAAGGGGGTAGATCCCTTAATTTTTTAATTAGGTCAAAATTTAGACTTTTGGTAATTAAGATTTTCATTTATTTTATTATAATTGTCAAGGGCTTTTATTTTTTTATTTTTTATTTTTTCAGGTAAGGGGTAGGTTTATTCATTGTTCCGGCTGGCACCAGGCCATCTGGGTCCTCCACACGGTGGAGAAAGGCCTGGGAAAGAGAGCTGGAAGAGCTGGGAAAGAGACCTGGGAAACAGAGAAAAGAGCGAGAAAAGAGAGAAAAGAGCTAGAAAAGAGAGCATCTGGGAAAGAGGTGGGAAAGAGCAAGCTAGGAAAGAGAAGAGAGCTGGGAAAGAGAAGAGAAGGAAAGAGCTGAGAAAGAGCTAGAAAAGAGCAGAGAGAGGACATCTGGGCCTGGGCTAGGCCTTATCTAGGGTATGGGCTGAGAAAGGTGTGGCCATATCAAATTCAGATGTGACCTCAGTGGATGCAGATGTGACCTCTTCCAGGTGTGCCAGTTGCCTAGGTAATGCAGGTACTGGGTGGAGACTGCTGCGAGGAGGGTAGAGTCTGCTAGCCATCCAGGAGCAGATCTTACATTCCAGCCTTTTAATAATCATGAAATAGGGTGCTGATTATCTCTGGCTACTTCTTGCTGACAAGGGGCGTTGTCCAGGGCTTTTAAAATATAGATCTTCTTAATTCTTTAAACAAATTCAGACTTTTGATAATTAAGGTTTTTTTCCATGTATTTTATATGTAGGTATATGTTGTTGGAGGCTATGATGGGCAAAACAGACTTAGCAGCGTAGAGTGTTATGACTCCTTTTCTAATCGATGGACTGAAGTTGCTCCCCTTAAGGAAGCAGTGAGCTCTCCTGCAGTGACAAGCTGTGTAGGCAAATTGTTTGTGATTGGTGGAGGACCTGATGATAATACTTGTTCTGATAAGGTAAGTCATGTTCTCCTGAAGAAATTTCCAGTAGTATGTACAGAAAGAGAAAGACAATTGGTTTATCAAGTAGGTGGCAAGTCACTTAGTATGAGGGATCATTTAAATGTTATCTGGTGCCCTTTTCCTTTAGGGAAAAAACAATGAGTTTTCAGTTGCTAAACTCAAACTCTAATGTAGTTTTTAATAATTTCCTGTAACAAGTATGACAACCTTTCTAAAATGAGTTTCATTTTCAAATTTTTTACTGCTGTTATCTGTAGAATCTAAAAGTTATTCACACTCAAAATGGTTGGCAAGTGAATTAACAAAGAAAAAAGCACAGTATTCAATTTTACTGCTTCCAACTGAGCCATTTTCTGCATACTTTCAAAATAGTTTTAGAACAAAGAAGGAAAAAAAGCCCTTGTGTAAACAGAGGATGGCTCAAAGTAGCTGTAGTCCATTGAATTCCTGAAATCTCAGGAAACATGTTTATTCTGGAAAAAAGGTGTCTAGTGTCTAATAAATGATTTTGAATTTTGTCTATTAGTTCTTTTTCTAAGTCAAACTTTATTGCAAAAGTTATTTATTTATAGTTCTTTAGTTCAGAATTTGTAATCATTCAGATTATATTAAATTTAGGATTTACTAATCTTCTGAAGAAAAGATCTTCTAAAAGTGTAAAGAAATTATATTCAGATTGAAACAGTTATCCTAAAACTTTAAAAAAGTTTAGACTGTTAATTTTATTGGAAATACATATGGCAAACCTGATGGCCATTCACCCTGGAAACAGTTTGTATGTATTTTATTTACTCTCCCCTGCTTGATTGCAATAAATCTGCATTTTTTTGAGAATTTTCATAAATTATCCATTTTTCTATTGAGCTACCTTCCTTTAATTCTCAAAGTTAATGAGATTTTATTTTTAATCATATTTCTATGTCTTTGTAGACTATTAAGTAAATTTACATTTATATTTAGACATTTAACCAAACATTTTTATTATTAGGTTCAATCTTATGACCCAGAAACCAATTCTTGGCTACTTCGTGCAGCTATTCCAATTGCCAAGAGATGTATAACTGCTGTCTCCTTAAACAACCTGATCTATGTTGCTGGTGGACTGACCAAAGCAATATATTGCTATGATCCAGTTGAAGATTACTGGATGCATGTACAGAATACATTCAGCCGACAGGTAATAGCCTAAAATCGTCCAGAAGAGTAATTCATCTAAGAGGGATCAAGTGCACAAGCATTATTAATACACCGGAATTTCACTCTTAAATACTTCATGTGTACTTGAATTATTTTACAATTTTAAAAGTTCGGCATAAAGCATTCATTACAATATACCTCTTTTAAACTCCTTCCAAGGAACTAGCATTAATTTATTTTTATTTTGTGTTAGATCCAGGGCCTTGTACATAATTGGCATGTGTTCTGCCACTCAATTACAAGGAACTGCTTTAGGGAAATCACTTCCTTTTTACCATCCCATAGTGAGGTACTCATCATACTTGGGATGTTGATTTTTCCCCTTTTAACCTTTTTCAGGGCCCTATTCTAGTCTTTATCCCTTTTCTCTTTCATAGTTTAAAAGAGAAGACACGTTTGTTTCTGTAGTTAGAGTCTAGGTAATTTGATGGTTTTGTTACAAAGACATGATGGTGCTAAGGTCTCGTTTGTCCATACTTCATCTACAGCAACACTTCTCTTGCCCCTGTCGTTCCCCCCGACACCTAGCTATGATGTTACACTCTTACTGGTTACTACTGGTCTTTTTATTTTTGTTTTGCCAATCCTGAGGCTTGAACTCAGGGCTTACGCACTGTCCCTGAGCTTCTTTTGCTCAAGGCTGAGGTTCTACCACTGGAGCCACAGCACCACTTCTGGCGTTTTCTGTTTATGTGGTACTGAGGACTTGAAACCAGGGCTTCATGCATGCTAAGCAAGCACTCTACCACTAAGCCACATTCCCAGCTACTACTGTTCTTCTTTATAGTGTCTCTCTTAGTTTCTTTATTTTTCCTACTCAATCCACTTTATTCCTGAATGTTTTCAACTGCTACTTATTACTGAAGACTCTTAGCGGATCTCCTTGCAGTGTATCTCCATCAGAGTCTTTCTCCTGTGGAACTCCAGTTTCCACCTCCCTACTTAATATGGGTGTTGAAGATTTTAGACTTAATAGCCAGTGCTGGCATTTCACTAGCTATGGAGGAGGCTGAGATCTGAATATCACAGTTCTGAAGCCAGCCCAGAGAGAAAAGTCTGTGAGAATCTCCACTAAACTACCAAAAAAGATGGAAGTAGAGCCGGGCGCTGGTGGCTCACGCCTATAATCCTAGCTACTCAGGAGGCTGAGATCTGAGGATCTTGGTTCAAAGCCAGCCTGGGCAGGAAAGTCCTTGCAACTCTTATCTCTAATAACACTCAGAAAACCGGAAGTGGCACTGTAGCGCAAGTGGTAGAGTGCTTGCCTTGACCTGAAGAGCTGAGGGACAGCGCTCAGGCCCAGAGTTCACACCCATAACCTACAAAAAAAAAAAAAAAAAAGATGGGAGTGGAGCTGTAACTCAAGTGGTAGAGCACAGCACCCAGGCCCTGAGTTCAAGCCCCAGTTATACTTAAATAGCATTTACCTTTTCTTTTCTTTATATTTTTTTTTTTTTAAGTCCGGTCGTGGGGCCTGAACTCTAGGCCTGGGCGCTGTCCCTCAGCTCTTCAGCTCAAGGCTAGTGTTCTACCGCTTGAGCCACAGCAACGCTTCTGGCTTTTTTTCTTTTTGCTTATGTGGTGCTGAGGAATCGAACCCAGGGCCTCATGCATGCAAGGCAAACGCTAGACCACTGAGCCACCTTCCCAGCCCCTAGAATTTACCTTTTCAACCCTTACTTTTTCCCCTCTCCAAACCTAGAATCTTTATTAGATTTTTTTTCATATTTGCTTGAATTGAATCAGTCTAGCATATCAATTCTGTGTTGAGTTTTATATTTTCCCATTTCTACTCTTCTTGCTTTTGTATAAATTCTTACCTAAACAAAAATAATAATATTGTAATAAATATTCCATTTTCTAATATCTTGCTTTGCTAAGTCATTTTGCTACCAGTTATTTTCCAACAAGTTGAATTATGTTTCTCCTTTGATTGAAAACCTACTGGACCAAATCTAAAAGTTTTACCACAGCATTGTAATTTTTGGCTTCAGGCAGGTGTTGTTTGGTGATACTGACATTTGAACTTAGAACCTTGCACTTGCTAAACAAGCACTCTACCACTTGTACCATGAATCCAGCCTTCATTCCAGACCTTCTGTTATCTGACCTTTGCTTTGTCTTTTCAGCTTTCTAGAACTTTATCCTGATTACATTAATTATGTCTTTATTTTCTTAACAAGCCACACATGTTCTTGGTTCGTGCTGTTTTTCACCCTTAATGCATTTTTTGCCTTCTCTCTTTGTAATTCTACTCATACTTCAAGGACCACTTCACCATTACAACAAAATGAAGTTACATTGGTCAGAACTGATCTTTATTTTCCATACTGAAATTCAGGCTTCTTACAGATACTGTTTGTTCTAACACCTCTATTATGTATCTTTCATTTATTCATGCTCAGAAAATACTTATTGAATAAGTAAAGCAGGTACTTCACTACGTACCTGAGAGACCTAATTTTAAACTAATCTTATTTACAAGAAATATGGTTAGCCCTAGCCCGACGCTGGTGACTCACACCTGTAATCCTAGCTACTCAGAAGGCTGAGATCTTAGGATTGTGGTTCAAAGCCAGCCTGGGCAGGAATGTCCGTGAGACTCTGATCTCCAATAAACCACTCAGAAAACCAGAAGTGGACTGTGGCTCAAGTGGTAGAGCGTTAGCCTTGAGCCAAAGTACTGAGGGACAGCACCCAAGTCCAGAGTTCAAGCCCCATGACCAACAAAAAAAAAGAAAAGAAAAGAAGTATGGTTACAGTAGTGACCATGAATAACATTCGAGTATTGCACCATTTTTTTTCAAAAGTATTGACCCTGAGATATTTAGCTATAATTAGTAATGTATTCAGAATAGCATCTCAACTCACGGAATGGACATAATATGATCTTCAGTTTCAGTGTGGAGTAAAATCTTTTATCCTTCCCATATCACATTTGAGGAAAACAGTTTGGGGGGAAGGGTTTTTGATGTTGCAAAGGTTTGAATTCTGGACCTCGCACTTACTAAGCAAGAATGCACCACTTGAGCACATCCCCAGCCAAAAAATAAAATCAGTTTTAATCTAAGCTGCCTTTTACTTTTAGGGGTGAATATTTAAAGAATAATTCATTTTAAAGCCAGACACTGGTGACTCACCTCTAATCCTAGCTGCTCAGGAAGCTGAGATCTGATGATCACAGTTCAAAGCCAGCCCTGGCAGGAAAGTCTGAGACTCTTATCTCGTTACCCACAAAAAGCTGGAAGTAGCCTGTGGCTCAAAGTGATAAAGTGCTAGCCTTGAGCAGAAGCGCTCAGGGACAGCCCAGGCCCTGAGCTCAAGCCCCACAACAAGCAGCAATAATAGCAAAATAATAAATTTTAGCTCAAAATTACTGTTTATTTGGAACTGTATATGATAACAGAGCTTAGGAAAATAAGCTAGCATCCTGCATAATGCAGGGCATGCAATGAAAATATTTTTTCTAGGTTGAGATAAAACTAGATAACAGTAACATCAGGACACATATGGTCCATTTTCTCCAATTAAACAACAGTTAGGGCTGGGAATGTGGCTTAGAGATAGAGTGGTTGCCTAGCATGCATGAAACCCTAGGTTTGAATCCTCAGTACTACATAAACAGAAAAAGCTGGAAGTGCTGCTGTGGCTCAAGTGGTAGAGTGCTAGCCTTGAGCACAGAAAGGCTCAGAACAGTACCCAGGCCCTGAGTTCAAGCCCCAGGACAGGCAAAAAAAAAAAAAAGGATAACATTGACATCAGAAGTTTATGTATTCATTATTTATAGCTAATATTGGAATTGTTTATAGAAAGATTACCTATTTTTTTGGAGTGGGGGGGGGAAGTCCTGGGGCTTGAAGTCAAGGCCTGGCCACTGTCACTGAGATTTTTTTCTAGCTCAAGGCTAGCACTCTACCACTTGAGCCACAACTCCACTTCTGCCTTTTTGATGGTTAATTGGAGGTAAGAATCTCTGAATTTTCTGCCCAGGTTGACTTCAAACCTCAGTCATTGGATTTTAGCTTTTTGAGTAGCTAGGATTACAGGCATGAGCCACCACTGCTATCTGCCTGCACTTTTAATGCCATGAGGTGCATAGTAGGAAAGAGCTTAATAGTTAAATATTAAAAATGTCTTGTTGATATTTATGTTTTATTTAGAATTGTATTTAGAATTTTGAGAATTTGTAGATGATGATTATAGTACATCAGATGAAATCTTACAGTTTAGCCCATAATTGGTACAATTTGTGAGTCATAGTCTGGATAAAAATGTCACTCACTTACAATAATGAACCATATTATTCTGGATATTACATAAACTTTTTTTTGAGGGGGTCCGGTCGTGGGGCCTGAACTCTGGGCCTGGGTGCTGTCCCTCAGCTCTTCAGCTCAAGGCTAGTGCTCTACCACTTGTGCCACAGCGCCACTTCCGGCTTTTTTCTTTTTTGCTTATGTGGTGCTGAGGAATTGAACCCAGGGCCTCAGGCATGCAAGGCAAGCGCTAGACCACTGAGCCACCTTCCCAGCCCCTAAGAACTCTTAATGTAGGCATTTTACGTACCCATTAATTCTTCTAAGACTTTTGTATTTCCTTTGCTGGTACTGGGCTTGAACTCAGATCTTGGACACTTAAATTTTTTTGCTCCAAGCTTAAATTAAGCACACATCTCCACTTGAACCACATCTCCACTTCTGGCTTTTTGGTGGTTAATTAGAGATAAGAGTCTTACACTTTCTAGCCTAATCTGATTTCAAACCTTTCAGATCTCAGCCTCCAAAGTAGCTAGGATTACATACATGAGCCACCAGTGTCTAGCTCATTCTTTTAGATCATAAGATAGTATCCTTCTATAAGTCCACTAAGATTGAATTTCTTCTACCGGAGTGAAAGGTATATAAGCAAATCTGATCATGTTGAACTGTTCACCAATTTTTGGATAGACCTGTTTCATTGTCAGTTTTGTGAAGCCAGGACAGTAAATAAAATAACTTTCTGAAATAAAGTGAAATGTAAATGCAAGAGTATCTGATTTACAGCATCACCAGATCTATGTAATATAAAAATTTTGGTGAACTTTCTTTCTTTGAAGAATCACTCCCATCTTTGCAAGAATATTTATTTTTTATAGTAATTGTTATTGGCCCCAAGACTAAAATTTAGCTTAGAACTCTGTTGTATGGGATATTAACTGCAAAATGTTATACTTGGAGCATAACAACAGTGTTTTCTTCATTTCATTGCATATCCCCTCATTCATTCATTCATTCAACTTGAGATTAATTCTCTAATGTGAATAATGTTCCTGTTCCTTGGCCATGTAACAACTATTGTAGTAGGAGAAGCTAGTCATGTCCTTCAAAGATGTTTTCATTTAATTTCCTTTAAGTGGACTGGAAGTATAGCTCAAGTGATAGTGCCTTGCCTGGTGAACTAGAAGGCCTGGCTTCAGTCCTCAGTATTGAGGGGTATGAGAGATGTGTTATCATTAAGTTGAATCATTCTTACCAGTCCATTATACCTGTCATACTCCCACAGTTACTAACATATCTATCTTAATACTTGTTTCAACCATGCAGACTAATCCAGCACTCACACATTGAACAAGAGTTGGACAAAAAGGAGCTTGCCCAACTTATGTTTTAGCATGTATATTATGTCTCACATTTTTTTTTGTTAACTCTGAGTATATTTTTACTTTTAAGTTTGTTACCAGATGCTTTATCTTAAACCATTAATTTCTTCTTTGTGTATTTGGTTAAACAGGAAAACTGTGGTATGTCTGTGTGCAATGGTAAAATATATATCCTGGGTGGAAGACGGGAAAATGGAGAAGCCACAGACACTATCCTCTGTTATGATCCTGCAACAAGTATCATCACAGGGGTAGCTGCAATGCCCAGGCCAGTGTCCTACCATGGCTGTGTGACTATTCATAGATACAATGAGAAATGCTTTAAGCTCTAAAGCCAGAATACCTCACCAAGAAGCCACACTGATCCAAGACAAGAGCGTTTAAAAACTTCCAGTTGGGAACTTGACTTATCTCCTTTGTGCCATATGTAAAAAAATAATCCCTGTGCCTTTCTCCCCCAAATATCAATTCTTCAGACTATAATAAAGCCTTTCCAATAACTGAAAGAATATTGTTGTTGTTAAGGATAATGGTGGCTGTTGCTTGGCCTTGGGATGTATGTTTATATTTTTAAGAAGCCTATATGGACTAAGAAATAATGTCTGCATATTTTTTAGGAATTTGTCAATGATTTCTTCAGTTATGTATGCTTATCTGTGTAAGACTGCATATTTTTGTTATTGTCTCATATGGAGAGAAAACTGCATGACTGAGAGGCTTTATTTACGTTAATCACCTCATGCTAAAAATGCTTAGAGAGCATTCCTGAGAGGAAAATCAGTTTTAAAATATCTTTATCACTGATACTGCATCTCTGAACTGGCAAATTATATTGAAGGTTTTTTTATTCTGAAACTGATAAAAAATATCAAGCAGCAGTTCAAGTATCACAAAATACTGATTTATTATAACTTCATTCTTAGAAGGGCTGTCTTATACATGTTTTGTGAGGAGTTATGCAGAGATTTTTAAAAAAAAATAGTGTGCATGAAAGTGGGATCAGAATTACAGACTTAATTCCAAAGAAAAATTAAGTAATTATTGGAAGAAAAAAATGTAACCCACTGTGGCTTTTAAAGTATTTATGTATCATCTATAAATCCTCTTAAGAAGCTTCTTCCTTAAACTTGACCAAGAAGTTAAAATCTATTTTACAATATTGTTTTGTGGTAAACAAGGACAGGCTTGCTCCCCAACCTAGTAGGATTCAACCTTGTTAGTTTGGTGCTTTGATTTAGGACTTCTTCCCTGGTTATGCTGCCTTCAATGAAATCTCTGCCTTTAAACAGGCTAAAGCAGGGACCACTTATCTCAGTGGGTCCATTTTTCTTTTAAATTTTGCTGAGAAAAGCTAACAGCAGTAGTTCTAGTCTCCTAAGAGAAATAGTTCATTTATTATACCCATTTTGCAAAATATTGCTCAATATTTACAAAGTTCTATAAAATAAACTGCTTTTGTCTGGATTTTTCAACTCCAGTGGAAGAAACTTACAAGTTTCCAGAGAGCAATGTAAACTTTTTTCCTTAGGCAAATTAATGGAAACTGCAAAAACTGCAACATAAGTAACTATTGTAATTTCTTGATAGACAGATAAAATTGACAACATTTAGAGCATGTACCAGGTAGCCTGTTGTATTTTGATTTCCCAGTCACCATCATCCCTCACATTATAATTGTGTACTTGTCATAGTAAGGATGATACAAATACTGTATAATTATAGTGTCACCGGATTTGTATTAAAACCAAGGTACTCATCAGAAATGTGATGTGAATGATACAGACGTTTCAGATAGAGAAACTTTAATGTTTCATTCGAACCTAAATTCTAAGGGAAAATTCTCTTAGAGAATTTCTACTCTACACGTCATAATTTATATGATAAATAACTTTATGATAACTCTCAAAGCAATTGAGAAAAGTTACTATTTTGGTTGGAAGACAGTTGTAAGTACAATGGAGAAACTTGTACCTTTATAGGAAACATCTGAATGATGCTTTTATAGCAAATGTTGTATTCTCAGTTCAGATTCTGTGTAGTAAATGAGGTAATGCATTAAGTGTTCGGTAAATGCTTAGGATTCTACACATGATGGTTGTTATTTTCATGTGTATTTGTATGATCATATCCACCCATAAATGGAGACTTCATATAAAAAGACTTGTCAAGATGAATTTGGATTCTAGTATTTCTGTTTTAAAAGCATTAACTTGTATTTCGTGTGTATTTTAATAGCCATGTGTTTATGTAGCAAATTTTAATGAAACTCCCAAATCCAGAATGTTTAAACACAGACCTCATACCAATACTGTTTTGTTCTTTACATAATTTAAGCCACATAAAATTGACTAGGTAGAATTTATGTTGAAGATCAACAAGAATTTCACTTGAAGCCTAGAAAGACTGAAGTAGCTATTTTTAAAGTTGCCCAACTGATATTTTAACTTTATTTATCTTCCCTTACTAATTAGTTCTTGATTAATAGTTGTATTAGCCTTGATAAAAAAAATTAGGGTATAATTTTAGGGTTTATCAAAAGGGACATATCGGCCAAGTTGGGGTCAGATTATATTTATTCTGTTATCCCACAGCTGACAGACTTTATTAATAGGTGATACTCATAGGAGCCTCTGAGTTAGTATGTACATGTGTATATATGTAGATAAGACAGTATGGTTGTGTACACTTATATATACAAACACTGAGAAGTTTTGCAGTTTGTGATGATCAGAAAAAAAGCACATAAAGCAAAAAATATTTGATCATTTTTATTCAATTCCAGAAGAGGTTTCATTGGAGGCATGTCTAGAGTTCTTTTTCCATTGGAAATACAAAATGAATATTAGTAATGATGACTTGTATACTGTCAAAATCTTTATAACATACCAGAATCTATAGTAATGATGACTTGTTTCTGTCAGAAAACAGAATAGTGGTAGAGATGAGTTTGTATAACCCAACTGTAATACCTCAGTTGGAAAGAGAATTTGAAGGTATGTTTTGTGAATCAATAGAAAAGTATGTTTTTGAGTGTGCGTTTTCATGGATTTTAATCCTTTTCCATGTTTTCCTTTATGCAAATTGCAAAAGTGACCTAACTTCCTCCTTTTCTGCTGTAAAATTCCTACTTACTTCACTGAACATATAAAAAATGAGATCTTCAGTAAACATTTTTCCTAGATGATTGAAATAGAAGTGTCTACTTCATTTTAAAACCAGGTTTTTTGAAAGATGGTATAAATACTCAGGGAGAGTATTACCTTGTCACTTTTGATTATTTGGAGTGTTTAAAGTGCCATAACTATAAACAGCTTTGATTTGATGATTTAGAGTAAATTTACTTGTTTAAAGGAGTTTCACCCATGTCAGTGGTTGGACATTCATTATCTTTAGAAAGATGAAAATGCTCTGTGAACCGATATGTTTTCTCTTAGTGAATATGAATTGTGTATGAGTACACTGTCAAATGCCCTTTTTGAAACTCAGGAAAGACAAAGGTTCAATTATGCTGCTTTTGTCGACATGCAAACCAGGTGTGTGCTTCTTTTTCCTCTTCTCTGGATATGACAATAGATTTTTTAAATTACTGTGAGAACCCATCCATGCAAGAGCGGGGCTGAATTGTTTGTGTGTGCCTTTTATGTCTTGAGATTTATATGTGGAAAACACATCTACTCCAGACAGTATTTTCAAAAAGGAGAGATTGCTGTTTGTGTGATATAAGGAATAAGATAATGTCTCTTAAGGCTTCCTATGGATTGCCTTCAGTTTAGTAAACTCAAGACACTAGTTAACCTCAACTGAATTTTGGCCTTATTAGAACTGATTGTGCATTATGTTAAAAGCCCAGGTTGACATCACCTCACCCCATTATTATTTGTAGGTAAACAGTCACTGTACCAAGTAACCAAAATGGGGCAGTTTGGTTGATCTGTAAGGCAAAATGGGTTTGACTAGCTAGCTATATTTGTCATATCTAATGCTAGGCACCAGAAACCACTTGAGCCAGGATGTGAACTGATAATTCCAGAGACATTTTCAACATACTTTTGACATTTTTTAATGTTTTTATGCAAGTTTTACATTTGTGTGATTGCTTTAGATATTAAACTTATATAGTGCTAAAAATGATCATCATAAGTAATTTTTAAGAAACAGCAAGTCATAACTTATTTGTTATTCCAAAGAATTTCTGTTTTAATGTTTTCAAAATAACTGCATCTGGATTTATGTACCTTAGTTCTCGAGTATGACTCCAATTTTTTTTTTCAATCTAAATCTTGCCTTAGGCAAATTTCATGTTTCCTATGGAGTAAATTTCTCCTCCTTAATGAGCACCCAGTGTGTGGTTTGGCAGAATGAGAATGTTAAGGAAGGTTGGATGCTTGGAGTTTTATTGTATTTTCATTTTTACTTTTTGATATATAGGTGCTTTTTAAGACATTCAGGTAAACAGCTGTCATAATTATTAAACTCTCATAAACATCATTTGCAATATCTACATCTTACCTTATTTTGTTCCATCCTTATATACTATTTTTCCTCTGTAAGCTTTTTCTTTACTTGAAAAAGCACCTAGTCTTCCCTTCCTCAACACACATCCCTGTAGTAAATTTCTGTTGAATTTCCAGAGCTAAGACAATATACTTTTTAGAGTTGAACAAAGTGTAACCTGCTATACTGTAAAACTAGTACAGACCTGTGGTGACCAGATGTCATTTGCTTTCAAAGAGTCTTCACAGTGAAAAAAATGCTTTGTATTTCATTGTTATCAATTTACTTGTAGCACATTAATACTTATATGTTTTGTTTAGATATACTTCTTGCATAGCTTAAATTTTTTAAAGTTGTATCTAATAAAATGCCTTTTAACCATTATTACTACTTGACTGTATGGTATTAAATTTTGTTTACCAAAAATAATGTGGTGGTCTGTTATAAATGTCTATGTTTCCCCAAGTAGTTGCGCAGAAGAAGGAACAAAGGGAAATACATATTTATATCTGTGGGTGTTCACTAGTATGATCTTACAATAACTGGAAGGATAATAAACTAAAATCAGTGTCATAAGGAAAGAAATGATGTTTGAGGACTGGTACTGCTAAGGTTGGTCCCCAGTGTTTACTATGCTGTGACTTTGGTCACAACTCTATTGAGGTGTGAGGGTGGAACTTTTAAGAGATAGAATCTACTAGAAAGCCTGTAAGTCATGAGCCCTGCCCTTAGAGGGCATTTACACTGGCCTCACTGTGTGGGTTGGTTTCACCAGACTGGCTGGCTACAAGGCAGGTTTAGTTGTTTCAGCTCCATTTCCAGCTTCTAGTCTTGCCATGTGGTCTCTCCCCTCACATGCACTCTTTAAAAAAAAAAAAATGTTACAGTGATGTACAGCAGGGCGCCGGTGGCTCCCACCTGTAATCCTAGCTACTGAGATCTAAGGATCATGGTTCTAAGCCACGCCAGGCAGAAAAGGCCGTGAGACCCTTCTCTCCAATTAACCACCAGGAGACCAGAAGTGGCGCTGTGGCTCAAGTGGTAGAGCCCTAGCCTTGAGCTGAGGAGCTCAAGGACAGTGCCCAGGCCCAGAGTTCATGACCTATGACCAAAAAAATAAGGTGATGTACAGAGGGGGTTGCGGTTAATGTAAGTCAGATAAAGAGTACATTTCCTTTTGGACAATGTCACCTTTTCCCTTGCTCTCTTCCAGTTTTTCCCTCCAGTCCTCACCCACAAGTTGTATAGCTCGTTTTCCATATATTGTCTAATGAGTATCACTGCTGCATTTGTTTACCCTTTGCCCCTCCACTTCTGTGCCCCCTCACATGCACTCTTTTTTTTTTGGAGGGGGGGTTGTGGTGTGTGTGTGTTCACGCACCAGTCCTGGGGCTTGAACTCAAGGGCCTGGGCGCTGTCCCTGAACCTCTTTGTGGTCAAGGCTAGCATTCTACCACTTCAGCCATAGCTCCTCTTCCAGCTCTTCTGAGTAATTTATTGGAGGAAAGAGTCTCGCAGCCTTTTCTGCTCCAGCTGGCTTCAAACCATGATCCTTATATCTCAGCCTTTTGTTTTGTTCTAGTTTTGGTTTTTTGGAGTTTTTTTTCCCTCTGTCGGTCATGGGGCTTGAACTCTGGGCCTGGGCGCTGTCCCTCAGCTCTTCAGCTCAAGGCTAGCGCTTTACCACTTGAGCCACAGCGCCACTTCTGGTTTTCTGGTGGTTTATTGGGGCTGGCTTTTTTCAGCCTCCTGAATAGCTAGGATTACAGGCATTAGCCACCAGTGTACAATACTTTTTTTTTGGGTCCGGTCATGGGGCCTGAACTCTGGGCGTGGGTGCTGTCCCTCAACTCTTCAGCTCAAGGCTAGCGCTCTACCACTTGAGCCACAGTGCCACTTCCGGCTTTTTTCTTTTTGCTTATGTGGTGCTGAGGAATCGAACCCAGGGCCTCATGCATGCAAGGCAAATGCTCTACCACTGAGCCACCTTCCCAGCCCTCACGTGTACTCTTTTCTTTTTTTTTTTTTTGGGTCCGGTTGTGGGGCCTGAACTCTGGGCCTGGGCGTTGTCCCTCAGCTCTTCAGCTCAAGGCCAGCGCTCTACCACTTGAGCCACAGTGCCACTTCTAGCTTTTTTCTTTTTGCTTATGTGGTGCTGAGGAATCGAACCCAGGGCCTCAGGCATGCAAGGCAAGCGCTCTACCACTGAGCCACCTTCCCAGCCCCTCACGTGCACTCTTAAACAATGACATCCACCATTTTGCAGTCCAGGCAAAGCTGAACAGACACTCATGCATAATACATGAAGACACTTGTACAAAAAAAATTTAATTATACATGGTCATTTTAATTGTAGATGGAAGATTGGGGCTTTCGGGTATAATAAAGGAAGTGGTTGGAAGTATGAAGTTACAATCTGTGGTCCATATGTAAACACAGGCTTGCTGACAAGTTGATCATTACTGTCTCTTAGAACTAGATAGCCCTGGGATAGATAGAACTAGATAGCCCTTAGCCAGCAAAGCTTCTTAAAGATGTCAAAACATCAAAAAATAGACAAAGCAAAATTTGTGTTTGTTTTTTGGAATCAAGGTCATACTCTGTAACCCAGGCTGGCCCCAGAGCTGCTACTTTTCTTTCCCTGTCTTTTTTTAAAAACCAGTCCTGGGGTTTAGACTCAGCCTGGGTACTATCCTTGAGCTTCTTTTGCTCAAGGCTAACACTCTACCATTTGAGCCACAGCACCACTTCTGGCTATTTCTATGTGGCACTGAGGAATGGAACCCAGTACTTCATGCATGCCAGGCAAGCACTCTACAACAAAGCCACATCCCCAGCCCCAGAGCTACTCTCTTAAGTGTGGGGATTATAGATATGCACTACCACTTTCAGTTCTTGAAAGTACCTGTGTAGTAAACTAAAGAGTTAAAAGACGAGCTAGTTGAAAGTGGCTCATGCCTTATAAACCTCACTACTCAAGGCTGAGATCTGAGGATTGTAGTTCAAAGTTAGCCAGGACAGACAAATCTGAGAAACTCTCTCCAGTTACCTAGCAAAAAGCCAGAACAGGAGGTGTTGCTCAAGTGGTAGAGCACCAGCTGTAAGGTGATAAACTAAGTGAGGTAAGGACATGAATTGATTTCAAATTTGAAAGAAAAGAAGCATAATATTTGATGGCAAAGATAAGGGTGTAGGCTTATTTTCTGGAGAATAAAGGTTTGACTTTGGATAAGTAAACATTGTGAAAAACAGAAAAATATATAGGCACATATTTTGCTTAGCTTTATATGCTTAGCTTTAGAATTGTACCATCAAAATAAAATGACAATAAAATGAGCACTGTCCCTGAGCTTTTTTGCTCAAGGCTAGTGCTATGCCACTTAGGCCACACCTTGGTGGCTAATTGGATGCTTTATGGTGATTAATTGGAGGTGAGACTTTCCTACCCAGTCTGGCTTTGAAATGCGATCCTCGGGCTGGGAAGGTAGCTCAGTGGTAGAGCGCTTGCCTTGCATGCCTGAGGCCCTGGGTTCGATTCCTCAGCACCACATAAGCAAAAAGAAAAAAAAGCCGGAAGTGGCACTGTGGCTCAAGTGGTAGAGCGCTAGCCTTGAGCTGAAGAGCTGAGGGACAGCGCCCAGGCCCAGAGTTCAGGCCCCACGACCGGACCAAAAAAAAAAAGAAATGCGATCCTCAGCTCTCAGCCTCTTGAATAGCTAGAATTTTAGCCAAAGGAGACCAGTGAAAGTGTGCTTTTATTTATTTTTTTATTGGTTGTGGGGCTTGAACTCTGGGCCTGGGCACTGTCCCTCAGCTCTTCAGCTCAAGGCTAGCGCACAGTGCCACTTCCAGTTTTCTGAGTGATTTATTGGAGATAAGAGTCTCATGGACTTTCCTGCTCCAGGTGGCTTTGAACCGTGGTCCTCAGATCCCAGCCTCCTGAGTAGCTAGGATTACAGGTATGAGCCACTGGTTTCCAGCTAGAGTGCTTTTAATAGTAAAAATTCAGGTGTTTTTGTTTGACTTAGTCTTGGTTAGTGCAGACTGATGAGATCTGAGCAAGCTAGTGCCCTTCTTAACAGTGCCTGAGTCTTAACTTCATTGTTCTGAGAAATGCAGTCATTAAATACTTGCCAGCTTCTTCAAGGGACTTGAGATAATGCATCAAGTGTCCAAGCATAAACAGCTCTGACACAGAAGAGGAGTAGATAATTACTAGTTCCTTCTCCATGAGGCTGGTTCAAAACAAAAATATGGTGGGCAAAGCAGGAAAGGAATTGAAAAAATTCAAAGTAATAATTACCTTATAGTTAGAAAACCATAGTAGTAGGTAAATACAACTTTTTGTAATTTAGATTTTCTTTTTTTAAAAATACAAAGAAGGAGAGCATACCTTCGGCTTCTCTAGAGTTTATTAACTGGTAATGGAAATATAATAAGAAGGAATGGTTTTCTTCTCATTACATTGGGGTTTTGAAAACTAAATGATCTTTTTGTTTTTTTTAATTTTGGAAGTGGAGGTGTGACTCAAGTGGTAGAGCTCCAGCCTTGACTGAGAAAGCCAAGCAAGAACATGAGGCCTTGAGTTCAAGCCCCAGTACACATACACACACACACACACACACACACACACACACACACACACACACACACACACACTCACACACAGGAAAAAACAAATTACTTTCTATATTTTATGATGTTTTGACATGTTTAAGGGGCTTTGCTGACTGGGGAGTGACCACACTTCCCAGGCCTAGCTAGTTCTTAAAGATGCAGTAATCAACTTGTCAGTAAGCCTGTGATTATATACAAACCACAGATTGCAAGCTCATACTTCCAACTACTTCCATTATTACACACAAGACAATATTTATCCTGCCCTAATTCATTCCACAGCAGCCCCCTTCCCTCCTCTCTTTCCCTTTCCCTCCCACCTCCCTCCTGCTAACTTCTGGGTACAAGTGATCCTCCTGCCTTAAATCAGAGTAATGGGAACTACCAATACATACCACCACACCTGGATAACATTAAATTTTTCTTTCAGTAGCATTGATCTTTCCATGCCTATAAATTATGACTCAGGACAAATCATTTCTTTTTGTTCGACTCTGGGCTCACCATGTAACCCAGGCTAGTCTCAAACTCACAATATTTTTAAACTTGTAGTGAATGCTTTAGTAAATGAAGTGCCAATTCTGAGTTATGTCAGAGCTATTTTAGTGTACACACACACACACACACACACACACACACACACACACACAGAGTCCTTGCTAGGCTACTCAGGAGACTGAGATCTGAAGATCAAGATTTGAAGCCAGCCCATGCAGGAAAGTCCATGGGACTTTTATCTCCAATAAACTACCAAAAAAGCCAGAAAT